CCATTAATGTTATAAGCGAGGGCGAAGAAATCAATGGTGTAACGTACACAACAGCCAATAAAGTTTCCAAAGTCACAATTACCCACGGGAAGCAGGTGTGACATGTCTTAGAGGAAGAAAACATTACATTTGGTGATGCGGATGTGGATGGCGTGTTAACTTCACATAACAATGCACTGGTAATATCTTTACTTGTACATGATACTAATGTGAAACGAGTTTTTATTGATCCAAGTAGTTTCGTGAACATTATTCTGCTGAGAGTACTGTACGAGATGCAAGCTGAAGATAAACTAGTACCAAAGGCGCATACTTTGTCTGGATTCGACAATTCCAGCATTGTGACGAAAGGGGAGATAACACTTACTACATTCGCAGAAGAGGTTGTCAAAGATACAAAGTTTCAGGTAGTAGAGATGGAGATGACTTACAGTATGATTCTCGGGAGATCATGGATACACGAGATGGATGCCGTTCCATTTACCTTACATCAAGTTATTAAATTTTCATCACAATGGGGGATACGTCAAATCCGTGGGGATCAACATACATCCAAAAGCATCAACTCTGTAGCAGATTCAAATACGAGAAACGAAGAAAAATAGCAGTTACAGAATCCAGTTGAGGATACCACAACACAAGCCTCAACTGAACAAGGGCGAATAGATGTGGACTCAAGGCCTGATTCCATTCAAGAGCCAGAGGAAAATGAAAATATCAAAACAACGATTGAAGAACTGGAGGCTGTAGAGTTATTTACACAATGGCCTGAAAGGAAAGTCTATGTTGGGGCTAACCTAAGCCACGACATGAGAGGTAAGTTAATGAAGTTTTTGAAAACTAACGTGGATTGTTTTGCTTGGTCACATTCTGATATGACAGGAATACCACCGGAAGTAATGACTCACAAGTTAAATGAAGACCCATCATATCCACCTGTCAAACAAAAGAAGAGAAAGCAAGGGACTTTCAAAAATCAGGTGATTCAAGATGAGGTCCAAAAATTACTAAAAATTGGGTCTATCAGCGAGGTAAAGTATCCTAATTGGTTAGCTAATACTGTTGTATTACCAAAAAAGAATGGAAAATGGCGAGTTTGTGTAGATTACACAGACCTTAACAAAGCTTGTCCTAAAGATTCTTTTCCATTACCACATATAGATCAACTAATTGATGCTACTGCAGGACATGAGTTGTTAAGCTTTTTAGATGCGTATTCAGGGTACAACCAGATCAAAATGGATCCCCTAGATGAAGAATTTTTTTTATTTATAACAGACAGGGGGGCTTACTGTTATAAAGTAATGCCTTTTGGTCTCAAAAATGCTGGTGCAACATATCAAAGATTGGTAACAAAAATGTTCCAAGAACATTTAGGAAAGACTATGGAGGTCTACATAGATGATATGCTTGTCAAAACTCAACATTCAGGGGACCATATATCGCACTTGTCTGACAGGTTTCAGATCTTGCAAAAATTCAATATGAAACTAAATCTTGAGAAATGTGCATTCGGCGTTTCATCAGGTAAGTTTTTGGGTTTTCTTGTTTCTAACTGTGGTATTGAAGTAAATCCCTCGAATATTAAAGCAATTGAAGAAATTCCTGACATACTTACGAGTAAAAAAGAAGTGCAAAGGCTAAAAGGAAGAATTGCAGCCTTAGGGAGATTTATTTCCAAATCATCAAAAAAGTGTTTTAAATTCTTTTCAGCTCTTAAAAAGCAAGATCAGTTTGAATGGGCTAAGGAGTGTCAACAAGCACTCAAAAACTTGAAGACATACCTGTCAAATCCGTCGTTGCTCGCAAAACCAAAGGTTGGGTAAAATTACTCGTTTATCTTGCTGTCTTCGAAGTAGCAGTAAGCGTTGTTTTAGTTCGTAAATACCAAGGTAAACAATCTCCAATTTATTATGTTAGCAAATCATTATTAGATGCGGAGACATGGTATCCTCAATTAAAAAAGCTTGCACTTGCACTAATCATGGCATCTAGAAAACTAATGCCTTATTTTCAATGTCACCGTATTGCCGTAGTAATTGCTTATCCATTACGCAATATATTACACAAGCATGAGTTGTCAGGTAGGTTAGCCAAATGGGCTATAGAATTAAGCGAATATGACATCATATACCAGCCTAGAACCGCGATAAAATCTCAAGTGTTAGCAGATTTTGTGGTTGATTTTAGCCAAGGAATGCATTTAGAAGCAGAAAAAGAATTACAGGTGTTCAACGGATCTAGTCCAGGAATTTGGACCTTATTTACTGATGGCTCATCTAATGTAAAGGGGCAAGCTTAGGAACTGTTTTGGTACCACCTACGGGTGAAACCATTCGACAAGCCATTAAATTTCATTCTATAACTAACAATGAGGCAGAGTATGAAGCTGTGATTGCTGGTTTATAACCGGCACTGAAACTCAGCATTAATCAAATTTTAACTAAAAACGATTCGCAGCTTGTAGTTAACCAAATGCTGGGGACTTATACAGCCAGGGAAGCACGAATGCAATAGTATTTAGAGAAGGTACGGGATTTGATTAGGAAATTTCAAACCTGGAAATTCACGTAGATACCAAGAGATAAAAATGTCGAGGCAGATGCTCTAGCCAATCTCGCATCTGCGGTAGACGTGGCAAGCAATGAAAATGCCTCCGTAATTCATTTGTTTCATTCAGTACTCGATCCAGACAAAAATGAGGTAAATTTTAATAAATTAACCTGGGATTGGAGGAACAAGATTTTTGCTTTTTTGCAGTATGGTACCATCCCTGAAGACAAGAAAAAAGCTCACGTGCTTCGAAAAAAGGCTGCTCGATATTGTTTAAAGCAAGGCAATCTTTATCGAAAAATGTTCAGTGGTCCCTTAGCAAGATGCCTCGGGCCTTCTCAGCCGGAATATGTAATGAGAGAAATACAAGAGGGGTATTGTGGGAATCACACTAGAGGAAGATCACTAGTAAGAACCATGATTAGGGCAGGTTATTATTGGCCTAAAATGGAAGAAGAAGCGAAAAATTTTGTGGCTAAATGTGATAAATGCCAAAGATACGGTAATAAAATGCATAGACCAGCGGAGTTGTTACATCCGATTATTGTATTGTGGCCTTTTATGAAATGGGGGATGGATATCGTGGGTCCACTACCACAAGCAAAAGGACTGGTAAAATTCTTGCTTGTACTCACTGATTATTTTACTAAATAGGTGGAAGCAGGAGCATTCAAACAGGTGCGAGAAAAAGAGGTCAAAGATTTCATTTGGAGAAATATCATATGTCGATTTGGTGTACCAAAGGAAATCATGTGTGATATCTGCCCGCAATTATAGGTGCATAAATCACAGAATTTTTTCAAAGTTGGCAAATCAAAAGGATTACACTACGCCTTATCATCCGATGGGTAATAGATAAGCTGAATCAACAAATAAAGTTATTATTAACAATTTGAAGAAGCGATTAGAAGAAGCTAAAGGCAATTGGCCAGAATTGTTACCTGGTGTTTTATTGGCATACCGCACGATAACGAAAACAAGCACGGGAGAACACCATTCTCATTAGTATATGGAGCTGAAGCTTTAATTCCAGTTGAAATAGGGGAGCCAAGCGTGAGGTATACGTAAATGTCAGAAGAATCCAATGAAGAAGAAATGCGCATGAACCTTGATTTACTTGAAGGAAAAATGGAAGCTGCACTAATAAGGATGGCAGCACAAAAGCAAGTTATGGAACGATACTACAATCGAAGAGCATGGTTAAGATACTTCAAGATTGGGGACTTCGTACTCAAGAAATTTTTTCAATCCATGAAGGCGGCCAATGCAGGTAAATTAAGTCCAACCTGGGAAGGACCCTACAAAATTCATGGCATTGCAGGGAAAGGAGCATACGAGCTGGAAACAATGGAATGTCGTTCACCTGAAGAGATACTATTTCTAAGGAATACCCATGGTTAGGTATCCTCAATTTAAAATTTTATTTTTGAATTGTTAAAATTTTACTAACAATTTTAGATGATAGGCAAAAAACTAGCCCGTACTAAATGATAAATCATGACCTGCAAGGCACGTGGAATAAATTAAAATTCCCGGTCTAGGGTTACACCTATTCTGATAGAAATTAATATAGGTTAAGAAGTCTTCATGTATTATCGTACCTTCGAGTCATGTGTGTTTTATTCCTTTACAGGAAAAGGACCGAATAAGAGGAGTAATCAAGTGCTCGAGACTTCATACTTCAAAGCTCAAACACTTGGGGGACTATATAATATACATGGACATATGTATAAAGAAGGCAAAGAAGATTGGGAGATAATCAAATTTCAAGCCTGAAAAGTTTACTCATTGAATGAATCAAGTGCAGAGCAAAGTTACAAGCTAAGAGCAAAGTTACAAGCTAAGGCCAAATAAAAACCTTATCATAGTTAGGTTAAAGGCAATATACTGAAATGGGTTATAAATAAAAACATGTGTGTTGTTTTCGTTTTTGAAATCTGTTGTAAGGAAAACAGATACGAAAAAGTTATAGAAGTTACTTAAATACATGTAAGGTAGAAATTGACAAAGTTCAAATAAAAACTTGTCGAAGTTATTCCAAAAAAACATGTGTATTCCTATTTCTTTTATCGTACATTAACACCATTATGAAGTTGAGACGTCTTCTTCATTAAGTGTCGAATATTAAAGGGACCTCTTTTATAAAATTCATGATTGATCTAAAACATTCATGGAATTAAGAAAGCATTTTACAAAATAAAAGTGCAAATTATCGAATAAGTCTTTAAATATAAAGGCAAGACAGAAGTTCAAATAGCTACGAAAACTTCTTAATATTAAAAAGTCTAGACTAAGTATGAACTTAGTCATAAACTAAGAGTTTCTTATACAAAATGCCCCAAAAAAGGTCTGGGGACTTAGTGTTACAAACCCTCAAAAAAGACCAAGGGTTGCAACCACATTCCACCAAAGAAAAAGAAAAAAAAAAGTCACGCATCATTGACTTGTCACTGAGGAGTTGAAGAAGGAACCAAAGCAGGGTCTTCAGCAGCAGCAGGCTCAATTTGACTTGAAGGAATTGGGGTACCCATATCATCTTCAACATCGCCAGAAGCTTCAGCCACGGGAGAAGGAAAGTCTTGGCTATGCTGAGTCTTTTCAATAGTCTCTTTGATTTTGGCTAACTCAGATTCTAAGTTAAAATTGTGCTAGCTAACTTCAACAAGGGTATCATGGCGAGAATTTAAAAACGCCCAACTCATTTCAATTGCGGTTTTATCTTCAAGAATCTCGTAATCTCTTTCCCAGTCAGCAATTTTATTTGTTAGCTTCTCATTCTCAGCCAAGGCAGAATCATAAGAAGTTTGAAGAAAAGCATATGAATTTTCCAAGGAACGAACTTTATCAGAAGATACCCGGAAGTCTTTTTGAGTTTGAGTCAGAGTCTGCACGAGTTCACCAGCATATGCTTCTTTCTTACCTAAGAGAGTCTTCAACTCTCTGATCTCCTCACTTGCCTTGGAGAGTTGCTTGGAAAAAGAGGTTTCAAGAAGATTCTTCTCTTCACCTGCTTGATTTGATGAAACCTTTTCAACCACCAACTCTGAAGTTAAAACCCTTACCTGCTGCTCTAAGGTACATTTACTCTCTTCTGATATTTCCATGTCGATTTGAAGACTTTCAAACTGTTCCTTCCAATTATTCGCCTCCGCTTGGTAGTCACATGCTAATTTCTCTGAGAGGGAAACCCTCTTCATCATCTCCGTGCTAATTAGATTGACCTAAAAAGGGGGGGAAATGAGAATCCTGAAAATAGAAAAAAGGTAAAGTTTTAAAAAGGGATACCTTTAAAGAAGCATGCACTATATCGTTCATCAAAGTCAAGGAACTATAGCCATCAAGTTTAGCTCTTTCAATTAGACCAATCAAAGGTTTCAACCACACGTCAGCTCGACGATTTCCTCAAAAGGTTACCCTCAGCTGGAACTTCAATAGTAACTTGCCTTATAGCTTCACCTCTACTTGAGGAACCAACCTCGGTATTATGGATAGTTGAAGTAGGAACTGAAGAAGGAGGAACTATAGAAATAGTAAAAATAGCTTGGGGAGTAGAAACAACCTGGGGAGGAGCAGCAACGGTAACAGTCACGACTGGCAAAGAGGGTATCAAAGGAACAGGTGTAGAAAAAGAAGCAAGGGGTGCTACATCAGAAATTGGCCCAAAACTTTCACTACCAAACCCACGGTCAAAAAGTTGTTCAGCAAAAACATGAGCAGCAGCGGGAGTATCATCATCAGAAATCACCAACGAGGCATCAATAGACTCAGTGGAAGGAATAGAATGAGGGGGAGAAGCTTCATCATCTGAAATAATTCTTCTTCTAACCCCTGGCCTTTTTGTCAAAGAGCCCTCATCTTGTTCTTCTTCCTCCCCAGAGTCTTGATCAACAGAAGCTTTCTTTTTTGATGAAGAACCCAAAATTATCTCTTGGGCTCTTTCCATAGAAATTCTGGAAGTTGCGACGGCCTCATCACTTACGCCTCAAATGGGAAGTCCTGACAAAAAGAAGGATCAAAATAATTTCTGAAGAAAACAATGAGTAAAATAAGAAAAACTCTTACCGTGAGTTTTCACTTTCCAGCCAAAACGATAAGAGAGATTTTTCCAAGATCTACCGTCCATCAGAGCGGTACGTAACAATTTTTCTACCCAACCACGAAAATTGGGAATTTCATTAACAACTCCCATGGTTGCTGGAAAAGAAAAGGGAAATTAAAATAATGATCATCAAAATTGAGGAAAAAGGTACGAGAAAGTTATTAAAAAGAATACTCACGTGCAAAATTCCACTTCTCGGGGAAGGAAATATTTTCATCACCCACTAAACCGACAGTGGGGGCAGCAACAAACCGGGCGTACTAACCACGGTCTTTGTCATTTTCTAGATTGACCAGAACTCTTTTGCTTCTTGCCACTATAGTAAAGACTCCTTGGCGAAAGAGTTTAGGAGAATAGAGGTAGATTAAATGAGAGAAAGTAAAAGGCACGCCAGCCATGTTGGTCAAATGCCTCAAACAGGAAACAACCCTCCATACAATAGGGCCAATTTGACCTAAGCAAACGTCGACAAAACGACAGAATTCAAGTATAACAGGATCAATAGGAGGCTTGAAACCCAATGTAAAATGGTAAGTGTAAACAAAAGAAAACCCAGTTAAGTAGGAGGTGATTCTTTGGTTCGCATTAGGGATTATAATGGGAAAGTCATGGCCCCAATGGAAATCTCTACGAACTATTGAAATCAGACCTTCAGTGATTTGAGTCGAATAAGTATCAACACGATCTAAATAGGACAATTAGTTTCTAAGGGATTCTCTATCGTTGTAGAAAGATAGTTCAGCAGGGACTATTTCCTCTACTAAAGGTTCATGAAGAGGTTTAGAGGGTTGTTTACCTCTAGAAGAAGACCTTTGAGAAAGGGAACTTCTAGTTCTAGACGGAGGAGTAGAACTCGATGAAGGAAGAGAGGGGATTCGTGATAAAGAAGACCCTAAACTACAAAACCTTCCTCCTCTCCTACTTCTAATAGGATCAAGAGAAAGGTTGTCAACAATGGGAACTCTCTGAGGGCTAGGGTTTCAAGAAGATATAGTAGTACGAGGAAGAAGAAGATTAGAATTGAATATTCTGAACTTTTGTGAAAAGGACAAGGGTAAAAAGTTATATTTATAGTCAGAAGTAACCATCAAAGGAAAAGGTACAACGATGGAAACGTCATAATGAAAACTGACGCTTAGTAATTGGTGAAGCCGTAAAAAAGCCTTAAAAAGCGCTGAAAGGTTGCAGAGCCAACCATGAGACGCCACATGTCATGGACATTAAATGGGAGAGATAGTTGAAGCATCAGTTCCAGGGAAAAATTAAATGACGGCAAATATTCACGCTTTAATAAGGTCCACTTCCCAAATATTCTATTGAAGAATAAATGGCAAGTGGGGGTACTATCTGTATTGGGAAAAATTAAGTTTATATATGGGATTCAATATAAGATGACATGTCATGACACATGGACCAGTTAAAGAAGAACAAGTGATGAAGAATAATCAAAGAGGCACGAGCTTCAACAAGTACGAGTAGTCATTCAAGGCAAGGAAGACAGGTGCTCGAACCTATTTATGACGGAAGAGAATGAATCTGATAGAAAATAAGGAATAGATACGAACTATTGTGCATTAAATACAGAAACGTTAAGGAATTTGAATTGAATCAAATATGATTGCTGATTGTAACGTAACATTAAATGCCATTAAATGTCATTAATTGACAATAATGGCTCAATTATGGAAGAAACGAAAAGTACCACTTAGAAATAGGTATAAAAGGAAAAAGATTGATCATTTGTAAGGACACGAAATATCACCGAAATATACTGATTTACTTTGTTTTCTTCTGTTCATCTGATTATTATCAAAGCCAATTTCTTTTATTCATTTTATATATTGATTATCAGTAACCCGAGTTCTTCTAAAATAAAACTTTGACTGAAATTACTATTTTTGGTTAAACAATATGGCGTAGATCTGGATGATTGGTGGAACAAAACCAAACATATTTCAAACTTCTCACCCCACCCAGCGGCTGATGGAAATAGACTGACTACCGTAGAAATTCGTGTGACTTGTTGAGTGATATTAGTACGGAGTAGTATTTACTTCAATTTTGAAGTTCTGGTTGTTCCATTTTCCATATTGTGTGAATTTCACCTAAAACAAATTCCTTTTGTTGTCCTAATAACTTCCATTGGCATTAAATGATTTCAATCTAACATTATCTAGGTTCACATGATCCATGACGTAACGTCACTCTCCTCCTTGTCCCTATTAATCCAAGGACATGTTAATGTCTACTGTTGGACTTAGGCATTGCATGGCCACCTTAATTAAAATGGAGAAGTCATGCCAAAAACTTTAATAGCTCGATGGGATGCACACAAACTAATCTGCATAGATATATCGTTGTAACAAAAAATCTTAACTTCTTCAATATGGCCAAATTCTCAATCATTTGTAAATTATGTGAACCAAAAGTAAAACTCGTCCTGTTTCAACGCTTTGAGCTTCTTGACTTCTTGTTTAACAATATTAGAGGTCATATGGACATTGGACACACACATACCAGCACAGCTAATGGAGTATAAGTTATGGATTAACAAATCACTAAAAAGAGTGTGAATTACTTGTCACAAAATTAAATTAAAAAACGATTATGTTGGAATTGAGTTATATACACGGATAGATATTTCTGTTATATGTATTTTTTATATGCGATAACAGGTTAATTACTGTGGGAAGAGGTGTGTGAGCATACAAATACATCGAGTACAACAAATCAACACAAGTTTGGTACTCCGGAGTTGGTACCTCCCGTTCTACTGTTTGCCTTTTGGTGTTAGCTAAATTGATGTTACTTTAGTTCACAATAGTTCAATCATTCAACTAGTGTACTTGTAGTCACTTGTTTCCTTCTAGTTTGATTCGTTGTCCGTTGGGCACTAGCGAGTCTTCTTTAGATTTGTCGTAGGTGCAGTGGCTGCAGTCTGGAATGATAGATTAAGGGCATGTCCTCGGGTGGGGCAGAGTGTGGGGCCGGGATCAAGGTGTGGGACAGGAGGCAGGGGAGGTAGAGGAGGCAAGGGAGCCTATAGGTTGAGAATCGGGTCATGGAACATAGGTTCGCTAACGAGTAAGTCTATAGAGTTGGCGAAAATCCTTCAGAAGCGGAAGATTAATATAGCGTGTGTCTAGGAGACTAGGTGGGTCGGATCGAGGGCGAGAAACGCGGATGGGTATAAGTTGTGGTACTCTGGAGTCCTGAGGGATAAGCATGGAGTGGGTATCCTGGTAGATAACAATCTTAAAGAGTCGGTGGTAGAGGTCAGACGAGTGAATGATAGACTAATAACTATTAAATTGGTGGTGGGTGAGTGTACTTTAAATGTCGTTAGCGCATACGCGCCGCAAGTAGGCTTGGATGAGGAGACTAAAAGGCGCTTTTGGGAAGGGTTGGATGACATTCGTTCGTAGTATTTCGCCTACCGAGAAATTATTCATATAAAGAGATTTCAATGGTCATAGTGGGTTGTCTGCAGGTGGTTATACTGGGGTGCATGGCGGTTTTGGTTTCGGGGAGCGGAACGGAGGGGGCATTTCGTTGTTGGACTTTGCCAAGGCATTCGATCTTGTGATTGCGAACTCAAGTTTTCCAAAGCGGGAGGAGCATTTGGTTACTTACCAAAGCTCGGTGGCGAAGACTCAGATTGACTATCTCCTCCTCAGGAGATGCGACAGAAGGTTGTGCGAGGATTGCAACGTTATCCCAGGTGAGACCCTTGCAATGCAACATAGGCTTTTGGTGATGGATATTGGCATTATGATAAGGAGGAAGAAGAGGTCAATACGAGGCCGCCCGAGGATTAGGTGGGGCGCTTTGACTAAGGATAAAGCTTAGGAGTTGGAAGGAAGGTTATCGGCAATAGGAGCTTGGAGAAGTAGTGGGGACGCAAACACTATGTGGTCGACGACGGCAGACTGTATAAGGAAGGCGGCGAGAGAGGTGTCAGTGATATCTTCGGGCCACGCCCGGGGCCACAAAGGAGACTGGTGGTGGAATGCAGTTGTCCTAGGTAAAGTAGAAGCGAAGAAGGCAGCTTACCTGCAGTTAGTAGGGAGCACTGGTGAGGAGGAGAAGAGAGCAAACAGT